AATGCATTTGTGCTCACTTGAATAATGTTCTTACACAGCTCTTCTTGTGGGATGTTGGGCTGTTACTTTGGTAATAGAGCATTTGGTTAGTGTGGGCTTTTGATAGACTTGCATTTCTAACTTGCCGTTGTTTCCTCTGCTGATGAGGATATCCAGGAAGTGTGATGTTTTCTTCTTTCCTTGTGAATTTTATTAATGTTGTTGTTCATGTGTCTTCTCTAGTTGTTCCTTTTTTATTATGACGGTATCGTCCACACAATGGATCCATATTTTGGTTGCATGTGTGAGAGTGCTATAGCTTCTAGACACCGCACTATGAGTCCTGAGAGTGGTGATCCCATGGGTATTCCTCTGATTTGTTGGAAGTAGGTACTTTCCTCTGAAAGTAGCTCGTGAGGCAGAGGTTCATGAAGTCCATGATTCTGGGTATTTCGATCTTAGTGTACTTGGCTAGGTTGGGTGTGTTGTGTAGCACTGCTGTCATGAATTCTTTTGCTAGTTCCAGATCCATGGAGGCAAAGAGTATTGTGACACCAAATGAAACGATAATTTCATCTTCTATTTTTAGGTCTTTGATTCTCTGGAGGCACTATAGTGGGGAGTTGATAGAATATTTGCTCCCCTCTGTGAGATGTCCAAGATTTTTTACAAGTTCTTTGGCTATGTTGTATGTTGGGATCCCTGGTAATGATACAACTGGATGAAGAGGTATGTCAGGCTTGTGTATGAGGATAGGTCCACTATTTTTTATCCGCCACTGTTCTTCTTTTGTGATCTGACCTTTCTTGGTTAGGTCATTGAGGGTTCTCTTGATCAGGTTGCCCACTTTCTATATTGGTTTGGTGTTTACTGGGATGCAGGTTTCCTTGTCCTCCAGTAATTCTTTGGCTTTTTCTATGTATTATGTTCTGTCCATGATAACCATGGTTTGCCCTTTATCTGCTGGGAGGATAGTGATGGTTTGGTTCTTCTTTAGGTTTTTGAGGGCTGCTCTGTCCTCTGCTTTGCGTTGGTTCTGATTCTGTGTTCTTCTGGTTTGTGGTATGATTGTCTGCCTTATGTTTTTTTGGGTCTCTGTAGCAAGTTCAGTGGTTTTAAATGCTGCTTCTAAGGCTGCAAAGAATTCTAACTGATTAGCATCATCTATGCTATTTATTAGTATTCTATTTTTCTATTATTTTATAATTTATTATTCCTAGAAACAGAATGCTAGCGAGATGGACGCAGGCCTGCTCTAGTAGAGCTATTTTCATGTTCTCAACTGTTGTTATCAGAACATGCATGTATTGCAAGTGTTAGGTTTTAAACCCAAAATGATATTTTTGTGCAAGACTATACTGAACAAAGACTGGGGGAACATGATCTATTGCTTTAAAAGACAGTTGGTCCATTCTTAGCAGTAACATGTAATTTTAATTTAATTAAATTTACACCATTACACAATTACATCCTTTGTGTGGTGACATCATGTGTGTGACATTATCATGGCTCCTACCAGATGCCTATCTAGATCATATTCTTACTTGCCTTTATTTCAGACCAGAATAGCACTCGTGGTTTCAAAGAATTACTATATAGTTAAATGAAAGCTATGAAATGAATGCAGGGTATTCATGATTTATAGAAGAAATAACCTACTGTGTTAGGTTAAACTTCAGCTACTCATTCATTATTGTTGTCAACGGAAATCGCTCATGGTCCCCCCAGTCTGAACCTAACAAACTCCCATGCTCAGTCATCTGCTCATCCAAAAAGTTTAACAATTAAACAACTTTATGTCATGAAAAAACAGGAACAGGGCACATAAACTGGAATCTTCTGCTACTAAGCATTTAATTCTTCACAAGCAGCATTTTTTCACCTTCACCATGCTAGAAGTCAACTAACAGCTGCAAAATCAGAGTGTAGGAGAAAAGCTTAATGCAGCAATAGAAAGGGATGTACTACCTTCTCAACTTTCTCAAGCATTCCACATCTCAGAATTCCAGAACATCTATTTATTATATAGTATAGACTGTTTAAAAGATAATGAGGTAGTCCAGCTTCTCCCAATCCAGTGCCCTGCAGATGTATTGGATATCAACTTTCAGCATTTCTAGGCAACATAGCCAACAGCTGTTGCATTACATCTTCATAATTCTGAAATGAGAAATCTCCCTGCATAAAACACTTTCTGCAGGATCACACAACTCCAAATGGACATAACCAGATATTTATATCACTGACTCACCGTGCTGGTGGCTGAAAAAGCCCTGGAAAATTACAAAATTGTTCACCTGAAACAAACAAACAGACACAATGTGAAAGCGCTAAATAAACCAGTCTGACTCCACTGTACACTGTAAATGTTCCCTGAAGCAGGAATTACACCATTCTTGTTTTTTCTGCAATTCATCTGAAGATTTGTTTCTCCTCACTGGATAGAAGAACATTTTCAAAGGGAACGCGCCATAGTTCAGAGGTAGGCCATATGTTCTGAATGCAGAAGATGCCAGGTTAAATTCTCAGTGTTTGCACTCTAAGAGCCTTTGGGAGGTGAGACATTATGCTCTCCTAGCAACAGAACATGTGCAGTCTTCCCAGGTCACAGTAGAGCCCTTTAATTTTTTCAGATGGTAATCAAAATACGAAATTCTTCAATCCATTTCCACTCCCTCCAAACATTTGATTCAGGCCATTTCTGCATAATGTGTACAATTAAACTGCTACAGCAATCCTTTTTAAAATAGCCAACTGAAAAATTAGTTAGTGGTAGTATTTTCATTCCCCTTCATGGATCACTGCCTTGTCGTGGCGAAGGGGCTTGCGTAATTCAGTGAAGCCAT